CACGGTTGACGCCGTGAGCTAAAACCGCAGCCCCAAACCCTGAATCGGCCTACCGCCCTCGCCGCGCCGCGGAAGTTCACCACATTCGACTCGAACCTGGGATTCGACTGCGAGCGCTTTTGGTGTTTGCCTTAGCGTAAGTTATAGTATATAATCTAACATGTTACAGTATGTGGTGCTATATGATAGTATATTGCATATTGTAGCGTATGATAGTATCTCATAATATCCTATGATGTTTTGTTTTTACCTGATAAAGGTTTCGACTGGCACACTCGCAGAGGGCAGGCACGGATTCCAGCACAAGCCCCACTACTAATATGAATTAGGGCGTGTTCTTGCCTCCTTCTGCTCGAATCGCCAATTAGGGCTTCGGACTTGGGGTTTTAGGATCTGCAAAACTGGCCTTGCAGTTCAAACCTTGGCATACTGACAACGGCCCAGGAGTTCGGGTCTTGCGGTTTAGAGCGCGGGGAGTTTGGTGTTTTGTGGTTGGCGGCTTTGGAATTTTTTTTGGCGGGGGTTTTGGGAGTTCAGAAATTATTTTTAGATATCGGGTTTTCGGGGTATGGGGTTCAGGGGCTTTCGGTTAATTTGGAGAACTACCCTTATCTGTCTCGCATGATCCCGGAAAACCATAGTCGGTCGAGACGAAGACTTGGGATATTGGGGCCACGGCCATCAATCCCAGGCCTGAAACCCGAAAACAAAACCTAAAATACCTACCGAACTCCACAACCTAAACCCTGGGACGCCCGTATATCAGGGCCGGAGGTAGTCCCCAAACCGTAAGTCATGCAAGTCAGCAGAAACTTAGTGTCTGTGTCTCCTGGTCCCGATTGTAGGCAACTCCAACACAAATGGGTTCCTGAAGGAGAAATTGAACTCCTCACAACCCCTGGCAATTGTAAACCTGTCGAGTGAACAAGAACATCCGAAATTCCCTGCAAAGAGCAATCAAGCTCGAAAAATCGCCACCCTGGGTTCGGCATCGGGAAGTATGCTTCAGCCCGTTTGCCCCTCGAAATCTTCGCTCCAAACTTCGGTTTGGGTAGATTAGTTAAGTTTAAGGCCAGGCTGTTGCAGGTGTCCGAACCCGATCGAAACGGTATGAGCTCGGCAACGCTTCCACAACGGCACTCCTCTTGCTGTAGTCCGAGATGAGGCGGAAATTCATCACCTCGTATCTTAGGTATGGTCTGGAACGATTTCAACATCCTGTAACCGAACCTCGTACAAAGTCATTCCTTCCCTCGCCCTTGCTCAGGCGCTGGTCAGGCTCTCTCTCCGTCTCTCTCCCTCTCTGCGCTCTGTCGTGCCTCACGTCACCCCAACTTGAAACTAGAGAGCTTGGCACCACACCCCAGCAAGCCCCAACTTTTAGCCAGAAAGGCTGCTGACACTCTAAGCCGTAAGCCCGAACTGGTCAAAGGAGCCGAGGCATGGAAAACTTTAGCCCGCATCTGCTATACCACGGAACGAAACACAATGTGATGATCTCCGAAAGCCGAAAACACTTATATCCCAAATCCCAAACCTTACCTTGCTTCTACTGCACTCTCACCTGCCCTTGCATCATGCCTAATCCCGTGACCCTAAATCCTGAATCCAGTCAAAAGCTTGACGGCGACAAGGGCCCGGCCGCATGTTCAACTTCACTGACCTCGGGCGCAGGCGCAGCACAGAGGAACCCTGAACCTCAACATCAACTTCAACGACAATAGTGGTGGCTACTTGGGGAAGTCCTAAGGCTTGCGGAGGAATGCGGGAGGGGGAATTCAAAAACTATCACAAGTCCTGATCTTCGGGGTTGTTTCGGTGCCCACATCAACGCAACGATTTCAGAGCCTATCCGATATATCAATAGGCATACTCCGCCCTTGTTCATGCGAATCTTCTGTACTGCACCTAGAATTTGAGAGCTTCGGAAAACAAGGAGCTTCCACAGAGACATCAAGCACTGGTATCCTTACGATAAGGATCCCCTCGTTAAGGTACTCTTCTTGGTCTGAAACCCTAACCCCTGCAACCCCTAAACGCCCCAACCCGTGCCGAGTGGCGCTCTCCGCCTGGGCTTTCGACTCCTGCTGCAGAGCCTGAGCGGTTTCGGGTTTAGGGTCTAGGTTAGTCCTTTCAGCTTAGGGCCTGAGGGTCGTGAGCAGAAAACTCTGTGCTTTGAGTTGTATCTGGGTTTGTATAATGGCTTTCTATGATTGCATCAAGGCTTGCCAGCGCTTTTTTGAAAGCTTTAAAGGGGCCCTATCCAAAGCCCGGATTTAAATCGTTTAGAGCTCTCGTGTTAAAGCTTGAGTTAAAGCTCTGGTGGCATGCAGTGGCTAGGGTTTCGGGCTTAAGGTCTTCAGGTTGTTCAATTTACACTAGCCGATGTCCTAGGGGCCTGAAGAGCCAGACCCCAGCCTAACCCTCAAAGTACACATGAAAGCCCCAAACCCCTCAAGCCCGACATCTGCAATAAACCTCTTAAGAAAGACCCATAAAGACCCTGACAAAGCAAAAAACACATCACGAGGCTTCTAGTCTTGTAGAGCCCAGAAAGCCGTAGGGCCTCCCACTTTGGTACCCAAGGCCATTACCCGGGCCTTGCGAATGGCGCCGCTTCGGAAGTACAGGAAAAGGAAAAGCACCTCCCGAGTTAGGCTTTCGAGCAGTTTTAAGTTTCCGGTTTGGGGTTTTGAGCTGGGGTTTCGACTCGCACACTTGCTCGAAGCAGGCACGGATTCCAGCAACAAGGTCCAACGAGACGCCAACATCGCCAACTGAACCAGGGTGGGCAGACCCCAAACATATAAGATCATACACTGAAAGGTAACTTCAAAGCAATAGACTCAATAGACAAATCAGTAACCAGTGCAAAGTCTGCCCATCCTAGCCGATTCTGCGCACAACGGGTCGCTGGCCGAAACGCTCCAAGCCCGAATTTGTGGCCGTGAAGGCTCCCAAGGTCGAGGCTTGGACTTGTGAAACGAGGAGAGGCCACCGCCGTCGCCTACTTTGACAGGAGAAGAGTATATGACCCATGCACTACCCTGGTCCATGCCGAAGTGCTAGTGGAAAGGATCTCACCGTCTCCGGTGCTTCGGCCCCACTGCTTTCCACAGCTTCCACTAGCTTTCCAGAGCGATGTGCCTCGAGCTAGTCGGGAACGGACACGGTGTTGGTCAGCACCTTGGCGAAGTCTTTGAGATCCTGCTTCCTAGGATCCTCCGTGCGGGGATCCTGAGCCATCAGATCGAAGGGCACCCGGATGTCCTTGCTGGCCAAAGGCCCTCCGGGCTCCACCAGCCACCGCAAGCTTGGAGGCAGCTTGTCTGGAAGGAAAGCAGGCAGCAAGTAGCCCAGCGAGCGGATGGATGCTGCAGGCTCCCGGTCGGGGCCGTAGAGTTCAGCTGCCACAGTACCAGGCAGTCCACCATCGCGCAGGCCGAGATCCCTCGCACCCTCCGCCACGACGCAGACTCGGCTGGTGAGACCACCAGAACTGAGCAGCGGTGGTTTCCGGATGCCAGGCTCCTCCGCGAGACGCCCGATCACCCGGCCCGTGAGCAGCGGACTTTCGCAAACCACGTTGGGATCACGGCCGCCTGTCACACGGTTGATCCTCTCAACATCGCCTTTTTCATACAAAGACTGAACGAACTCAGTGTAGACCACCCCGGGCCAGATGCTGACACAGTCGATGCCAAGAGGGCCGAGCTCCACCTGCAGATCACGGACCAGCCGGTCACTGCCGGCTTTTGCGACGCCATAGGCAGTGGCGTAGTAGTACGTGACTGCGGCAGGCGCGGACGTCACACACAGCAGGGGTCGCCAGTCGTCGCTGGCAGCATTGAGTAGCAGTGGCGCTGCATAGTACGAGGCCACGTAGTGGGAGCGCAGACCAACTCGGTGGACGTCATCCCAGACTTGCAAAGGCAGCTCGAAGAATTTGGCGCCCTTGCCGAGCAGCTCGTCACTCTTGGAATCTCGCTGAGCCGGATCCTGGAAAGCATTGTTCACCAAGATATCAAGCTTTCCACCCGTCTGCTCCTGAATCTGAGTAAAAGCGACCTTCACCTGCTCGTCTACCGCGTGATCGCAGACGACGGCAACACCTTCGCCACCGGCACGCGTCGCCAAAGCTGCCGTGGCCTCAACAGCATTTTTCCGCCTGCCGGTGACAAAAACCTTGGCACCAGCTTCGCCGAGAGCAACTGCAATGCCCTTGCCGATGCCGCGGCTAGCCCCTGTGACGACGGCAGTCTTCCCCCGCAAGCGCCGTGCAGCGCTCGCACCGGCGCCGATTCCACCACCAGCGGCAGCCGCCGAGGGCGCCAAGAGCAACCCCAGCAAGTATTCCAAGGAGTTGCGCCGTCGCTGTGCTCGCTTACCATCCTCTTGAGCCCTGCGCAGGATGGGAGATGGCGCTGGCGTTGCGAAGCGAGGCCTGGCTGCGCTGTGATGGAAAGACCGAGCCGGAAACCCAGACACCAGGGCCATGGCAGCCGCAGACTCTAAAGCTCAGGGCCAAATGCTTCGGGCTTGGGGACAGTGGCTTCGCACACAGGAAGGACGCTTGAAGTGTCTCTGGGACCCTGGAGCCACAAGAGCTGGGTTTCCGGCCAAGGGCAACACCATCACCACAGCGATGGACATGGGCCGGAAGGGCTTCCCGAAGACGGCGGGCGCCGTGAACTGGAAGAAGATCATCACTGCCTGGGGACAGTTGGGGGGTGCTTGGTTCAACCTTTCTGGCTCAGAACACGGTCCCGCGAAAAAGAGCAGCTCGAAAAATGGTCCCTGCTTCTGCACCGTTCTGATATGGGGAGCCTTCCATCGCATGTCTCGAGCAGTGCCGGAACTACGGAACACTCTCGGAGGACCTTCCGATGCTAAACCTCCAAGCCTGCAGTCCTCAAGCCTAAATCATCTTGGGCCCGGAACCCTGAAACGCACACATCCTTGCATCCCAGGAGCTACATTGCCAAGCTTCTCGATCCTGGGCTGGGGCTGAAGCGTTTCGGAGAGTAGGCGTACGGTTGAGAGCTACTTGAGGAGTTCGGCGAATGCCCGATTGCCTGGATGGCTTGGGTTGAGGGTAAGGCATTTATGTAGGCTATTTCGGGGCCTTGGGGATTTGAGTTCGGGGTTGATAAAGTTACGGGGCTAAGATTCAGGGTTTTGGGACTTAGGGTCCATGAACCTATCCGCCACCTGCACACACCACCAAAGCCGAGATGCAGAGCGAGAATGTTGCAGTAGCCATCCTGCTCAAAACGTGTGAACTCTACAACCTTATAAAGACAGGTAAACCCGTCGTAAAGCCCTAGGGGTGGCCCTAGATGACACATGGCAAGGAGCTTCGCAGCATTTCCGGCTGAAGAACAACACATTCTTCAAGGATGGAAAACCGTGCTTTCAGCTGTAGCCACTCAGGGTAGCAAGAAGCTGCCAGCAGAATGCACTCATCTTTATCATTTCCGATGAAAAATAGTCACTGAGGAGGGGTGCTCCTTTTCCGAGCGAACCCCGAAATTTCAGAGACACTCCTCGGCCAGCATGAATGCGTCCTGATTCCTGGGAGCTCAGAGGCTCGGGGGCCTCTCGGGGTTTCGGGTTTGAGAGGGTCGAAAGGTTCAGACTTAGGCTTGTTTCTAGCATCCGAGGCTTGAAGATCCGGAGATGTCGAACGGCAGGCAGGCAGGCAGGTAGGCAGGAGGTAGGAGGGAAAGTATCGAGGATAGGTCGGCAGGTAGGTAGGCAGGTAGGTAGGCAGGTAGGTGGGCAGGCAGGTGCGTAGGTAGGCAGGTGGGGAGGTGGGCAGGTAGATGTACTTACAGCAAATTCTACCTGCTTACACGTTCGTATGCACAGTTTGCACTACATGCAAGTATGTCTTGGGCAGTGGAGAAGGACTTCCAGCCACTGATCTCGACAAGCGTCAATGCCACAGTGACTTGCGCAGGCTTCGTGAGATTCTGCGAGGCCGTGCTGTAGTTCCTCGCTCTGGCACCCACTGAGTTTTTAAAGTCTATAGGGCTGAGACTTGTGCTCAAAATTTCCTGAACCCTTTTTGCTACTGGACAAAAGTCTAGCCAGTGAAGGTCCTGAACCCTAAGAACCCCGAGGCCAGCAAGAGGCTTCGAGGCTCCAAAAATGGACCAATTTTGTTTGGGTCCTGCTTTTTCAGGGTTTCGGATTTTTGTGGTCAATCAGGATTTGGGATTTAGGCTTTAAGGTTTCGGGGTAGAGGGTGTAGGGTTTCGGCTTCGAGAAACTTGCGGACATGCACAAGTCTCGAAAAGAAGGCAGATTTCTGAGTTGGCTCTGCCTTTGCTCGGCGCTGTCACTCTGAAAAGTTCTACGATGCGTTACGTGTCCCTGACTTACCGTCTACCTTTGGATCCAGGCCTGGGGTCCACGGTGTGGAGTTTCCAGTCCAGGTATTGTGGTAGGGTTTGGATTTTGGGGTCGACTTTGAAGGTTTTTTGGGGTGCGACATGGACGGCGAGAGGTAAAAACTTTCGGAGCTGGAAGTTTCGGATTTTGGGACCCTGACCTCGGCTTTCCGCAGGGTTTCAGGCTTCGCTGTTTGGGCTCCGCGTTCAGAATGCACGGAGATGGTTGATGTTCAAGAAGTCCAGACTTGAGGAAAAAGTACAAAACTGTCTAAAAGCTGCGGCTGCGCCTGGCCTGAAGCCTGAGCAACAAACCTGTAACCCCGAGTCTTGAGCCCGAAAGCTGCAAAGCCCTCAAACACCCCAAATACATGGCCTTCTGCCTAAAGCTAGAAGTTTTCAGCTCTGGGAGTCGACGATTTCAGCGTTAGCCCCCAGATTTGAAAGGAACCCTGCCCCGAACCTATGCAGTCCCGGGCACAAGTAGCGCCGCAAGAGGGCCGACTGGATCCAAGTGGTGGTCGTACCGGGTATGCCCCAACCTGATAACACGGTTCCAACACAAAGAGGGTTTCGTGATGCGACATCACAGAAACAGGGCTTAGAGGGGAGGGTTCATGAGACATGACCCTTCATGGCATTCGCACTCTCGCCGAATGGCTTCCTGTGCAGGCCTTGGGGACTCGACTCCAAAGCTCCAACTCTGAGGCTCCGGCCAAGCTTCAGGTAGTGAAGCAAGTGGGAAATGCCAAACGGCACGATCCTCCAGTCTTAATTCAAATGGGAGAAGCTCTTCAACTTTTGGGACTGGGCACCCCGCATCCTAAAGAAAGGCAGGCAGTCAGGCAGGCAAGGAGCCCTCGCTCTCTCCCAAGCGAGCAGTCTCGAAACCCTAAAATGCCAGAACCCTGACCCTGAACCCTCAAAACCCTAAACTGAACCGAGCCGCAGACCTACCTCGACAATGCGTTTTCCCACATCCCCACAACTAGTAGCCAAGGGCCAGCGCGTCTCCGGTCGCCACATGCCAGGATCGCATTACTTTCAACCAACATAGCAGGAAATATGATAATCATGGTTGTGGGTTCTTGCGATGATGATAAGGAGTGCTATGCTAGTGACTAGACACATACGCCTGTTCTTGCCAGCGCATTCATGCACGACCGCACAGTCCAGACTGTGCGAAAAACATTTATCAACCAAGTTCTGTGTTGGGTTTTCGTGTCGAGGTAGTAACCGGTAAGGATCATACAGAGAGGATGCGGGACTCAGCGACGACTGCCAACAATTGAAGAAGACACAAAAAGGCCGTCTCCATGACGCACCGACTGTCTGAAGCATGACCGCCAAAAACACTGTTGAATACGATTAAAACCCCGGAGCCAAGTGCTGAAGAGCGTCAGGGCCGCCATGTAAAGATACAGGGACTCGTAACGATCTTGAATAAGCCAGAGTGATGACTCGTCGACGTCCGTCCTGAGACGGTTTCAGCACTCACAACTAGGCACACCTAGGCTGGTAAGTGTTTAGGATGCACAGGTGAGATGCCGTGTGCAAAGTGACCCTCACCTTACTTAACCCGCCCGCTTGTCCGAAAGCCACACCCAAGATCTGCAGTACTGTACAGGTGCAGATCCCCCAGCTCCCCTATGTAGGGCTCAGTTCGGCCCTCTCTTTGCCATGAAAGGGGCTTGAGAATGTGGTCCAGGAAGTAGACCCGAAGGTATAAAGTCCTCAGACTTCAAGGCCCCAAACGAAAATCAACAAGAAGAGCCCAGAAGAGGACGTTCAAGCCGAATCTCGACAACCCAGGATTCAGCTGGAGCACCATGGCTGTAGGCATCCGGCACCGATCCAGACACTTCCTATCATCACCGTTCTTACTACGACTAGGATGGTTGTGCTCTCCGTGATTTCTAGCACTAATGACGACTGGTGTCGTTCGTAAAACATCGCAGAGCTGCCATAGCCACCACCACCAACAACACAATCTCTGTCATGACGACGATGATGATGTTCATGCTAAGGCCCTAAACCCTGCGACCCGAAACCCTGCTGCAACCCTAAACCCTAAAGCTTTTCTTCACCCAGCGAAATGCTGAAGACCCTTGGCACGGATTTGTGATCTGTCTCAAAGTCCGAAGCCCCTTCCCACCCCGAAAGTGCTGAAACCCTGCTTCCGTCACATTGGGACTGGGGCCTGACGTCTCAAAGCAGGCCGTCCATCCAAGATACGCGAGCTTGAAAAGGTTCGTGTACGTGTCGAGCAGTATCTGCTTAATGGTGCCCCACCTTTGCAGGCACAGGGTCTATGTTCTGGACAAAATCCAAGACCCTTAACATCCTTAAACCCTAAACTAACCCGAACTCGTGGCTTCACTTCGCCCCAGGCTCTTGAGTGTCGAGTTCTTTGTGGAGGGCTTGGCTACTGCCACGTCCAGCCCACAATGCCACCGACGGCTACAAAGGATCACAGAAGGGCTAGGAGTCGAAACTTCAACTTAAGACCTTACTGCACCGTACGAGCTTAAGGCTTGGAGTCAAATGTTTCGGGTTTGTCGTTCCTGTTTTCACTGTCCAGACTTCCAGGGCCTAGGCAGGACACCCTGGTTTGTTTTTTCGAGATTTTTGCTAAGTCCCCCCTAGAACTGGCCCGGAGCCCCCTAGGCCCCCCCCCCCTCTAAACCCAAACCCCTTCTACAGGTGGAGAGAAGGAAACCATCGCAAACGCAATACAAGGTGAGACAAGTTGAGGAGCATGTGGCCTAAGCCAACCCCAAGCCCTAAATGCCTGAATCCCTAAACACCTCAACCCTGCACCCAAGTGCGAAATCCTCCTCGCGAGCCCTGTGCTTACATGATCCCCGAGGCAGCGCACCTTACTTTCTCGTTGCTGGTGAAGTTCAGCCAGCAGAAGTCCCTGACCTCGTGGGTGCTCGGAGCTTGGGGTACAGGCTTTCAGAGTAGCGGCTAGACCTTGCACCCTTTCCCGGAGCCTGAAGCCTACACAGTTGTCTTTAAATCCTGTGCCCAACAACGGAGAACTGCACAGCATGTGCTCGGGTTACCATTTTGTGATTTGGGTGCCTACTGCCCACATAGTGTTGATGCCTGTGAACATGGTGAAGCTGATGCTCATGCTGACAAAAATGTGCTGATGCTGAGGATGCAGCTCATGATGGGGATGGCGCTGATGGAGGATTCTCGTTTGCTGGTTGCTAGCTGGACCCAATCCCACAGCACGAACAAGCCTACAAACGCTACACTGTCCAGCGTTTCGCCCAGGCACCGCTCGAACGAGCGAGTGATGTGTCATGGCCTGCAACAGCTGAGAGGCAAGTATTCGGGATTAGAAGGTTTCGAGGTTGGGGGAATGGAGGTTTAGGGATCAGCTCATGAGTCATCGGTGCGTGAAGTTCGGGATTTACAGGTTCCGGGATTTTGCGGCTTGGGACATGCAAGTTCAGGGTTTCGCACCTAGAAGTTCAGGCCGGCTCGGCTCAAAGAGCCTCCAGGCTGAGAGATATCGAGGCTGGATGAGGCTGAATTTCAAATTCTAAAAAGGATTAAATTCAAATTTAATCCATTCTATAGCGGGGGCTGGGTCAGGCCAGCTTGGCGGCTTAAATTCGAATTTAACTCGATGTTTGGGGCAAGCGGCCTTTC